CTCAACAAGTAAGCCATTGTTAGAATCCCATGTAAAATCCATGTATTTACCCATATCTAGAATCTGTCTGACATGCTAGAAGCACACAGAGATAGACACACACTCATATGTACATAGGATATCATGACTTTTATATCTGTGAACGTTAGCTTGGTCAGAGATTAAAATACTGACATATTTTATTTTCCTTAAAGGCAGTGTCTCATAAAAATGATCTTTTTCCTTTTAGCTGTAGTCATAGTAATACATTTATTTGCAACCATAGGTTTTAGCAAAATTCATATAAAATTGCAGCAATCCATATCAGTTCCATCCATCCCCTCTAAACATTGCTTTTCCCTGTTTTCTGATTAAAGGCAGTAGTTGAAGAAGAATGTATGCCTGTGGACCAGTTTGTTGAACACCTCTTGCCCAGCCTTCTAAGCCTGGCTTCTGATCCTGTGCCAAATGTAAGGGTTTTGCTTGCCAAGGCATTGAGGCAGACATTATTGGAGAAAGGTACGTTTAGTCCTTTTACAGGCAGATGGATTTCAAATGTAGTAAGTTCTGTCATAATGTAATAGTGCTAATCTGCACGGGTTGGTTCTTTTTAAAATTATATAAGGCAGTGCAAAAATTAAGAACAAAACTTATTTTAAAAGGATTGCACAAGTTGCAGGTACCATAACATGGCTGCCTTGTGCTCTCCTCCTGTTAAAAATGGATGGTTAAATGAGCCAGTTAGACTCATGTGGCTTGTTTCCTGTTTCCTAACTGGCCAGCTAGATGCCTGCGCATTTTGTATGCCAGCTCTCTTACTGTCCCCGTAAAACTGGTGTCACTGACATGTCTCCTTGAAATGTGGTAGCTCAGTGCGGCTGAAGTGGCTAATAGCCACTGAGAGAATTGTCATTCATAAATCGGACTAATTCTTTTTGAAAATGGTTTATCTTTAAGATTAATAGCAACATAGGAAGCTGCCTTAACCTGAGTCAAAGTGTTGGTTCATTTAACCCAGTATTGTTGACCCTGATTAGCAATGACTTGTTGGAATTTCAGAGAGGAATTTTTCTAGCTTTGCCTCAAGATTTATTTTTTGTTTATGCAAAAATTTGTATACCTCCTATTTCAAAGAATCTAGGCTCTTTACAATAAGCAAAAGATCCCATATAAAAATGATCTCCCCTCATATAACCCCCCCAGCCCACAATCTCAGCAAACAGTCAATCAAATCTGAAAAAGCCCAGTCATCATCCGGAATTTTATCTAGGATCTTCTGAATGCAAGAATGTACTCTGTCATTGATCTGTTGAATCTGTGTATATACAGATTTGCTCATTAGGATCATTATTGGTATTTTAATTTTCCACTCCTTTTGTTTGCTGTATTTGCATTTTGCATTTTATTGTTTTTCATGGTCTTAAATCATCTTGAGACCCCATCTGAATTTTAAAAAATAGGATAAACGAATAGTTTGGTACCAAATAATAGTCTAATTCATACTAATTTCTTAGCATATTTTAGAAGTGTTGGGAATCCTCATCTGGAAGCAGCTGAAGAGACTGTTCTGGTTCTTCAAGGAGACAGGGACCAAGATGTTTCCTTTTTTGCTACCATCAAACCAAAACTCAGTAATATGCATATCACTTTACTTGAAAAACAAAATTAACATATTTTTGTGTATGTAGTCTATGGAATTATTATTCGGCTAACAGGTTCCTGCTATGACTACTAACAAACTTGATAGAAGAGGACTGTACCAGGGAAATCATGCAATGCACGAGAAAAGGGCTTGTTCTTAATTCTGGTATTGAAGTGAGAAACTTGTTGTCCTTTTATTTACAGACTATCTTGATATGGAATACTTGTTTATTATACTTTTTGTATACATATGTTCTTTCATGAATGTGAGGAGTAATGTTTATCTCTACAAAACTGTATGTTCATGTGGGTTGTGTGAGCTTGTGGATATTTGCAGCTTAAACATCATTCCAGAAAATAAGAATATGCCTTTCTAAACACACTGACTCAATTACAAAGAAGACAATGCTTGGCTTGGTTAAAATTCAGAGCATTGTTGGTGAACATAAAATATGTGAGCCTCTTGCTTATTTCATTGTTAACTGAACCATAGGCATCCCATTTTATTGTATTAAATTATTTAAAGTATAAAAATGTGCTCCTGAGAGTTGGTAAAGAATTCAGAAAACAAACCTGTAACTTGAAAAAAGCTAAAGCAAATATACAGATTAATTTTGTTTCCTCTAAGGTAGATGGTGATGGCAGATAGTTTTATGAATGTTAGCAGAGTGTGAGAAATTAAATGAATTATTCTTTGTCCATGCTATTCACCTCTATGTTTGGCTGGGGCTGGTATGTCTACTGATAGAAATGGCTCTTTCCAAATGGGTACATTTGAAGGAATTTTACATATTTGTTGGTTATATTTCATAGTAAATGGTTTGAGGCTTGGGTCCATAAACTGTTAGCCTTCAGTGCAGGAACAGGGCTGAAATGTTTTTGGGATTTTCTCAACATTTTTCATACTCTGAGGAGAAAGAAATTAGAAGTTTCCCTTAGGAGAAAGAAGCTAGGGATATGAGTTAGCCAAAGTTTGTAGTTCTGAGGATTGACTGTACTGGAGGTAATGAGAATTGTTCTTTTTCTACAGACCAATGGAAAATTCAGTATGAAGTGTTCTTTCTAGCCATCTCTATGGTCTTTGGATTTCACGTAGCCCCCCTAACTGCATATTCCATAAGCAGCTGTTTGTGAAGATTGGGAGACCTTCTGAAACAGCTTTCCACTTAGTGCAGAGGATCTCCACTAAGAGGGCAAATCTCCTGGTCTCCCTATGTGCATATGGAGTCATACTACTTAGACCAAACTTGATCCCTGATTTTTCACTGTCTTGCTGAAGGTTATAAATAGAATAAAATAATATAGTTTTTCTTACTGCTTTGGACAAGATAAAAATAAAAAAATATATAAATAGAAAAAAATAGGAAAGGGAGAGGTAGATCAATGTTATCTTGATTTTACATTGTTAAGATACAATAATACACACAAGAATTGGGAAAACAATGAAACTTAGTCTAGTGAGAGCTGCTGGACATAACATTCCCAGTTCAAAGATTATACCAGTGAGTCCCCTAGCTCTAGATAGATATGAAATTTAACCTATAAAATGGATATTATGCACCATTGTAAGAACTAACCCAAAAAAAAGCCTCTTACTGCATGATTTGTTGGGCAGAACAAAAATATATATGAGATAGTCACCCCCTAGGAATCATTCACAGAAATAAATGATCATTGCTTGAGTTAATGGTTTTTTTAGTTATAGAACAATATTCAAAATTTTCGTAAATTTTGTATTGGTACAGACATAAGGTTTTTAAATGCAGAAAACATTGTAAGGAAGGCTTAATGGATAAACATAGTGGAATCTCTTTAAAAAAAATCTATAAAACATGCTTTAAAGAAACAGAGCTTATTTGTTGCAAGCCTGGTTATTTAGTTAGTATCTTAAATGTCCTTGTTGCAATAAGCATTGTCCTGTCTGAATTGTCAGTTTGTATCCTTTTTTTAAATTTTAAAAATGGTGTAATTTATTAGAATTGCCTAACACATTTTGGACATAATGCTATGAAAGATTGTGCTCCAGGTTGCAAAACAGTGTCTAGATTTTATAATGATCTTATTTACTTTGCAAGTTTCTAAAATGTTTTTTGAAAGTCTAAAAATATGTCCTTGCTATTTCAGTATAAAAATGCGTAGACTAAATTCTGCAAGCTAATTCTATATTTAAGTGTTTGAATAAGTTTTAAACAAAATGCCTCTTCAATGCAAATGAATTTTTATGACTACAGTTACTGCAGTTACTCTGCAGAGACAGTTCTTTTGTAGTTTTATTATCTTTTTCTAATGCTAGTAGCATACAAATATTTTAATAGTTAAGATTTTTCTAAAATTGTTCAATTTTTGCTTCTGTAAAAAGTTAATTTTTTCATCACCATTTTTTGAGTGCATATAGAAATGTCTTAAAAGAACTGTATATAGTCTCCTGTTTAGACATTAAAATGATTCAGTTTGATGGCCATGTTAATTTTAGATTAGTATTTCCCACACTATCCAACTAAATGTCAAAATATTCTGTGTCTGAGGAAGTTGTATTGTTTAATTAGCATTATTTATGCATGAGTAAATTGCCGAATAATTTTACTGAAATGACAAATCAAACTTTTCATTAATAATTAGAACCTTTTCCTAAATAGAAGGTTGTTTTTTTTACTTTTAAACAATTTTTTTTTTGTTAAAAATTTTGTAAAATGTTTTCAAACTCTGTGGTTGCATGCACTAAAGGAAGGAAAATTTGGGACAGTTCAATTTGCTCTGGTTCCCCATATCTATATCCATGTTTTTGCATTCAGTTTATTAGTACTGGGTTTAAGTTACAAAGGACTGCACCAACACCATTTATTTCACAATAGCTGTTAGGACCACTGCAAAATCACCATTGAGATGTGTGCAGTAGTCTTAAACTTTCCTTGTAATGAAAGGTGCATGACTGGGTGATGGCACCTTACAGATCACTCTCTAGGTGAAAAAACACTCAATGGAGACTCGAGTAGGCTGGTCACAAGTCTTTTTCAAATTATGTAAACATAATTAAACCTCACAGTGATAAAGCTGATTAAAGCTGATAAATAGTCACCTCTTCTTACAGAAGCTGCATAGATTTCATTTTGAAATCAAACCTGGTGTTATCTGCTGCAATATAGTTACAACTTTAGTTGCAATTCTTCTGTAGTAGTTAAATCTGTAAAGAATGGTGTTTAGAATCCAAATAGCTGGAGAGAGTCTGGATGTGCCACTGATTTTGTAAGAATCTATGTAACTTTCTATTCTTATTTATATCAATAAATTCCATCACTGTTTTATCAAACTCTTTTTTTAACCTGCAAATTCTTTTCAACCATCTAATAACATGTGAACAGCACATTAGCATTTCATTTATTCCTACAAGATGCTGCATCCGTGAGAAAATCTGACAAGCTTGATTCTCTTGAGATTCTATCAGCTTACTGGGGTTTGAGTCATACATTTTTTTTTACCTATGATTGCTGTAAGAAGTTTGATGGCTCAGCTGGAAGTTTCCAAAGGTGTGTCCTAGCTGCAACATGACATCACACTCGGTATATCCTAGTGACTTGCCTGCCAGCCATTGTTCTTCTGTCATGACATCATTGGTCTCAGGTGTTCAAATAGAAAGAATCTAGTGCACAACCTTGTTCACAGAATGCAAAGCAAAAGAAAACAGCCATCCAGCACAAATCCCTACCCCAGAACAGGAACAAATTCACGTATATTATGGCAGCGACCATTGCGTATAGGGGAGCTTGTATCCCCACAATCACGGCTTTTCAATGTCAAGTTACAAATAATTGAGTCTGAAGAAGTCTTTGCATTACCTGAATGTCATCGGGACTTAACTGTCAGGAGCCTGAAGAGTCGACTTGAGCTTTTTGTTGGGATCCCAGTGAATTTCCAGCGAATCCAGTATCTGGATGAAGGTGAACCCTCTTTTCTATGTGGCAGCTATGTCCTACTTACCAAAATGTCATAATCCTCCTTGTGTTATCCAGCTAGCTGAGTTGGGAGTTTGCTTCTGAATATGATCAGTTTCAAGGGTGATTATTCAAAAGAGTGATCCAGTGTTGATTCATATGATAAAAATATATGACTATAATATGTAGCTATATTACATCACAGAAGGCTAGGTTTGGATATACTTAAATAAAAAACCTGTACAAAGGTAGTCCAAATTCTGTGCTAATGAAATTTGGGTTCAGTGTTAAGTCAATCAGGTCATTTTATTTAGACAGAAATATGTACCTCATCTAGTTAACCTGTGTTAATCTAGTTAATTACTCAAGGCAGTTTATTACCTTGTTGGATAATGAAACATCTGCAAGCAAACAACCAAGCTCTGAGAGCACCAAGGATTCTGCAGCTCACAGCAATTGTATTTTTAAACACAGGACTAGGAGACCAAGCCTTGACAATATCCTTCATTGAATAATCTAGGACCAGTTACTATCTTTGAATCCAATCTATTTTACAGGATTGTCATGCCAATCTGCACTGGCATGAGAAATGTGGATCAAATAATGCAAAACTCTGCCATTTTTTTAAAAGTGTCCTTTGCATTAAAATAAATACCTAAAAACAATCCCAAGGCAGACCAGGGGTCAGACTTGTTTCCAATCTGCTCCAAAATGTAATCGGCATCACTTTGATTGTCTATTTCATCAATCAGTATTTCTGTAAATCCAAAATAAAAACGTTGAAGGGGCAAAAAGCTTCAAGGGAGAATTTATTCACTGTCTATCCGCAATGCTCCTAATTCTTTTAGTGTCCAAAGGCTGCCCACCATCTTTCAGGGTGGGCTTTCTGGAGGACTACCCTACAAGTAGTGGAGGGAAAAAAAGAATCTCAAAGATGGAAAGATCTTTTTTAAAAATGTGCTACAACTTATTTAAAAGGCAATGGCAAATCCCCACCACTGTCCTTTATTCCCCTTCACTAGTCCTTATATCGTTTTGCGTCTGTCCTCCCTTCCTATTCAGTTTCTAGGTTTAATCTTTCAAAACAACTTTTTATTGCCAGTCTTTAGAAATGTCCTCATTTTCTAAATCCTCAGGCTTCTTTTCAGTGAGAAAAAGTAACCTTTGCTCTTATTTGGATCAGACTTCAGTTTTCTGATGGAAGACTTTTTTTTTCTTTAATGCTTTGACTGAAATTGCTCATTCGCTATATTGGTCTTGATTTTACCTCTGGTATGCATTCCAATTAGTTTCTGTTATTTTAGTTTTGATTTTTCTTTTCAACTTCCTTTTCAGAATTCTTTTTTTCTGGTGTTTATTCTTGGTCAAATGTGATTTGTGTTAAAATGTCCTTAGAAAAATTAAATGTAATTAGTACACTTCTATGTAAATTGTATACCTTGAGGGATTCCACAATATTGCGGCCTATTTTTTACCATCCATATTTGGACAGCTCATTGGAAGGATTGATAATGAAGCTCAAGCTCAGATACTTTGGTCACCTAATGCGAAGAGAGGACTCTGTGGAAAAGCCCCTGAGGCTCGGAAAGATGGAAGGCAAAAGGAGAAGGGGACGGCAGAGGATGAGATGGTTAGATAGCATCACT